CAAGGTCAAATTCCCTATACCCATGAGTTCTCCTTTATCTTCTTTGTCAAAGTTATATCTTTTATTGCATTCTAGTTTTAGTTAACCTTAAAAACCAATCAATCACATGATCGCACTTAGATTAAGCTAGTACTTGTATTCTCGGTGCTTTTAAATCCCTCAGAACTGGTTCGACAATCATCTATACTACAACATTTGCCTTAGGAGCCTCAAAAACTCCTAACACCAATAAGCTTCACACACTTATAATGATTATAATTTATATTTAAAAGTAGATTAATTATTACCATGCATTCTCTTATTGTATAGTTTAGTATTACATAATAGTATGTACTATTTTAAGATTTTGATATGAGGCTTAGGGTTTATATTTGTATTATAGAGATTAGTGGTTAAGATTTAGGGTTTAGTATTTCGAAATTATATTTGTATGACACTATATTATATATTTGGTTGATGGTTTATATTTAGAAATAAGATTTATATTTATGTTTGCAAGTTACTTGGAAGATATTAAGACCCTACAACAAGATTGCCTCACTTCGGACATCATTCATGTTCCACGAACGGCGAATACAAAGGCATATTGTCTAGCACAACGTTAGAAAACAGCTGTCCTTTGTCGTTCACATGGATACGGAGACTACAGTGTGGTGCATAGAATCAATATGAGTCTGTATTTTTTTATGACAAAAAAAAAGGTTTATTGATTAAGAGTAGGGTTTGAGGGTTGGGTTGGTATAGATTTTATTATTTAGAGGTTGAGATAGGTCAGTGTAATTAATATACTATTACATGGGTTGTGGATATGGTTATAATTCTATATTACCTCATATAGAGTAACACACTTTGTATATTTTTATGTGGTTACTAAATGTCTAACGTAGATTACTCCTCTTTTTTCATGTGTTAACTAATATGGACTATACATGATTTCGTCGACATCAACCGTGAATGCCGATTACTTGTACCAACAAAGTATATAAACAGCTAAATTCAAACATAAATATTATTATTTTTTATTATATCAAAATCATTGTCATACATTTAATGTTTCTTCCCATTTTAGCTATTCAGCAAATTCTTCCACTATTTATCATCTTCAGAGGACAAATCCCAAAAAGAAAGTTTTTAAACTTCTCTAGTTAATTATTTTCAGACAAGATTAATTGATAAAAATTCTTATGTTGTGTTATTTGCTTATTGGATATGCTGAGTTTTTTTTTTTTTTTTTTTTGGTAAAAAAAAGTTTGTGTGGGGTAAATGATTCTAAAAAAAAGTTTGTGTTATTGGATATGCTGATTTTCGGATCACAAACAAGGTTAAACCAAAAAACTTGTTTCTACTGGAATAGAAAGAGTTTTAATAAAGCATATCAAAATATGTAAAACATAAAAGTAAATTAAAGAGAACAAAATAACTAGTCGCAGTAAATCCTTGTTGCCTTAGAAAAAAAACCCACTACTTGTTTCTCCTCATCATGAAAGAAACCAAACTACAAAGGACGTTTCTCCACATCTTGTGGACTGAATACTTGACTTGGTTTCATCATTTGTGATACAATTAATCCTTGTTGTTGTTGCAATGGGTTTTGTTTCAACTTTTGTGGTTGTTGCAATTGGCTTAGGATAATTTGTTGTTGTTGTTGGAATCCTTGTTGGTGTTGCATACCTAGAGGATGCACCATTGGCATTCTCTGCTGAAATCCAAACCCTTGTTGCCCTAAACTTATTGAACCAAACCCTTGTTGCCCTAAACTTATTGAACCAAACCCTTGTTGATTTTGCATCGGTACCTGTGGTGCTTGTGGCACAGTGTTATTTGCTTGTGACATAGTGTTATTTTGGTTGAGGCTTGGGTTCTGAAAGACTCTTATCATCTCTTCCGGCAACACGTCAACATCGATAATTCCTGTTTGATTCAGTATATTCTTTATTTTTTCTGAAACAAAATGATGTTCCTCCTCAAGAGTCTTGATAGCTATATTTCAACAAACAGATAAAAATGGGATCAGTAATATATAAATATTTTGCTTCTCAATTTATTAGACTATTTAAAAAAAAATTATATAGAATGATAGATGAATTAATTAGAGGAAAACTAAAGATTACCATGATCCAAGAATTGTTTGGAGATAGGAACGAGATCATTGATCTTACTCTTCTCCTCCTTGAGAGAAACAATATACGTTTGGATCTTGGCGTATTTACCCGAAAGTGTTTGAGTTTTTTCAATATCTTCCATAAACAACTTCAATGGATCACTCGTTGGGGGCATGGAAGAACTGTATATAGATTAGAATGCGTTTGAGGTTAGATTAAAAGATAATAAGTTATATGATATTAATCAAACGCATAAATCGACTAGATCTGATAGACTTAGTTAAAAATCCAAATCAACCGTCATGAATAATATATGAAAAAAAGATTTTTTTGATCAAAAACATACTTGCAATATTTAAAGGAGTTTACGCTCCAAAAGAGGAGTTGGTTACAAACAAAGAGAGGGCTGATAAAAGAAAAGATTTACGCTCCAAAGGATGAGTTGGTTACAAACAAAGAGAGGGCTGATAAAAGAAAAGATTAATACTAACAATTAATTAGGTAAAAAGAGGGAAAGAAGAAAGATACGTGTGTGATGCTGATGATGTTGTGTGAGTGCTCATCGTTGAAACTCTCTCTACGCTTTTTCTTCCTCTTTCTCTAAGCAAACCCTAGCTTCGACTGGCCGTGTGTTTCTTTTCAACCGTATAGTAATCGTATTTTATAGGTGGGCTATCATTATTTCGTTTTTATTACTATATATATTATTTCCTTTTTTAACCTAATCAAATCTCAATCATTTGAAAAATCGAATCTAATCATAAATAATTTACCATTTTTGACGAAAATAAGATATATGTATTTATTGAATTAAATAGTGTACAAAACGTAAACTCTAATTTTACCCCCAAAAAAAGTATACTTTTGTAGACCTGTACGATGTTTGAGTTTTTCAGACTCTTTACTCTGTAGTCATTGATCCGCTTGTTTTTGCGCTGCAGAATGTTATGAACAATAATTATTATGATTTCTTGCTTATAGATTTATATTGTCATCCTTATTTCTTTAAAAGATTTGATGAAAACTAATCCTTACCTTACTTAATTTTAGAAAACTTTTACTATATAATAAGGGATCTTAAACAAAAAGGCTATGACTGTGCATTGATAGGCTGGTGAGAGTTCGTTAATCAACCGCTAAGCATATTTAATATCAGCTTCAATGGACAAATCCTTGTGAACAGAGATGCCAAGAAAATGCAGAAAAAGTCTACAGCAACGATTAATGTTTTGTATTCCATTAAGAAAAAAGTGATGTGATTCCTGTTTTTGGTACTTTTATTGTCTACATAAGGAAATGAATTTAAACAATTAGTTTGGTCTCAAGACATAACATCCGTTCTAGTTTTTGTCACTATATACCAAAAAGACAACATATATTGAGATCACTTCAAAAGGAAGCACTTGGAAGCAAATTCAGAAAACGCATATGCTTTACAAGTGTGTCTCAATATCGATACCTTTTTAGTAGTCTTTGCCGCGTATCAAGTCCTGAACCGACGACCTCTACTGAAAGCAACCAGACTCTCTCTTTTTTTTCTTTTAAAGTCGTATGTCAAAACTTCAACTTAAGTCATTGTTCGATCTTGATGTAGTGGCTGGTCAGGAGTTTTGAGACTGATATGTCTTCGAATGAATCAACTTCGAAAAGTTCCTTCAGCTTCTCATCGCATATGATTCTCTTCTTGTCAGAAGGATCCTAAGTTTTACGAAACAAAAATTTGTAAAAGGAAGAAGTAAGTAAATGAAGAACCAGTTCAGAAAGCAAACCTGAAGATCATTCTGTTCTATGTACTCCCACAATCTCTTTACCACATCTGCCCTTGACAACGAGCTTTCTCCATCACCCAAGAACTTGATCAGAGCATCTGAAAGTGGAAGGGGAGCAAGAAGACAACACTCTTCCTTCTTTGGCTTTTCATCATTCTCGTTTAGTTCTTCACTCTCTGTCTCCTCTGTTTCCATTTTCAGCTTTCCATTTTTTGGAGAGCTAGAGCCAACTGATTCTCCTAGACCACCAGAGACGCGCAACAGATTAGAATAGAGTTCAAAAGCCATGTAAGAACTTATCAGTTTATCAAAAAAAAATAATACCTGCATTATCCTCTAAAGGCCATATGTGTTTGGTTAGATGTTTATTCATTTGAAACATATTGATGGACTCGAGAGGGAACAGAGATCTCAATGATTCATCACAGATGATCGTGCGTCCATCCTTTGGATCCTGCAAATTGTTCTCTTTTATGTACTTCCAAAGCATTTTCACAACCTGAAACAACCATTCACGAGACAAAATGTCAGAAAAAAAAAAAAGAAAAAGAGAAGCTGATTCAATTTGAGAGAGACATGTAACCTCTGTCCTTGCTAATTTTGTCATCCCAGTAAAAGCCTGAAGCTCTGGCGAGAGGCTGCAAACTTTAGCAAATCCACCTCCTCCTTTTCTCTTTGGCTTCTCCTCAGACTTGGCTGGCCTAACGGTAGAGTAAACTTAAGTTTCTGGGGGCGATTAACTAGCTGGAAAATACAAGAAGTGAGAGGGAAATAGAAAGCTAACTTCTTTCTCTTGCGTTTACGCAAACTCCTGACTTCTTCCTCTTCGCTTTCTTCTTCATTATCCTCCTCCATTTCTTCGTTTTTGTCCTCTTTCTCGTCTCTTTCCCCTGATGCATCACCTTCATCTTCTTCTTCTTTCACACACCCTGAGAAAAAGAATCATTTCATTGTACTTAGTCTACTGATAGATAAAACAAACTCAGGAATTGCTGGGAAAGGGCCAATGTATTAACGGTTGACTCATAGATTTACAGACAAATAAGTATGATTGATTAATTTCTGCTACAGACACATGATGTTATCAAAGTATTTAAGACCAATGGCTGACTGAAAAGGAAGAAATGAATATCATACACTCTAATTTGACTGTACCAGAAGCATGGAGTCCATAAGGAAGAGAGTCTAAAACAGAGGTCTATGATAATCATAAACACTAAGCTATCCTTAGTTTAGTTGGAAATCCTATAAATTTATGAACGCATAGAGTATTTTAAAAAAAAAAAAGAAGAAGGAAAGTACCATCGCCTCCATCACCTAAGGGCCAAATATGCTTGGCTAATGCCTTGTTCATCTGAAACATGTTAATGGACTTGACATGGAACAAGGAATGCAACGAGTCGTCACACAGTATCTTCCTCCTATCCTTTGGGTCTTGCAAGTCTTTCTCTTTAATATACGCCCACATTTTCTTAACAACCTAACCAAAAAAAGAGTAAAAACATTGTCCCACAAAACATTATCTGAACTAAAGGAAGATAAACAGTTACCTCAGTGCGACCTAACTGAGAGGTTCCAAGAAACTTCTCAAGCTGAGGAGAAAGCTGACATACTTTGGCAAATCCACCACCACCTCTTTTCTTAGCCTTCACTGGCCTATTCACACACACACAACAACAAAGGTTAATCCCTTTAACTCACAATTCTAAACAGACATTAACTCCAGTTAAACCTATGTCTAATTCAACAAGTGGTGTCTTATAATTAGAAACTTGTCGGAAACATAAAGATTACAATCAGTACAAAAAGGTTAATCTCATTTCGTTAATCCCATTGAACTCAATTCTAAACAGACATTAACTCTTATCTCTAATTCAACAGGTGGTCATTTATTTAAATATTTATAAGAAACATTATATTCTGATTGGTTGTGTAATGATCCTTCGATTCAATCACAAATTTACAAATCAGTAACAAAAAAAGAAAAGAAAAAGAGATTACCTTTCTTCCTTCTCTTCATCTTCGCCGTCGTCTTCATCATCAGCGGCATCTTCTTCAGCCTTAGGGCTCTCTGTGTTTTCTTCTTCAACTCCTCCGCCACCATTGCTCTCCAAGAAAGCATCGATTTGATCTCTGATAAACGCCTTCTTATCCGTCAATTCGACACCGAAATCCGCCTCAAGCTGACGACGGACGGTCGCCGGAGTCGTTGTTTCGAGGTCGGAGCTACTGAGAATCTCTCGGAGTCGGGTCACGAGGTCCTCGTCGCTAACCATTTTTTTGTTCTTTCCGTTTGCTCTTTAAGAGAAAGTAGAAACAAAGCGGCTGATGTAAGGAAAACGATTCTTGAGGCTGGAACTGCAAACAACCAATTAGAGGGTACTTTGGGAAATTCAGTTTAATGGTTCGTTCGGTTTCGTAACGCCGTCGTTTTGATCCTTCGCTTTCTATAGTAACGATAATCAATCATATCATGTTAATTAACACGTTTTATGGTATTCTAATTATGACTATTTGGGGAATGGTAACAGATATTTTGATATTCTAGAAGCTTTTGTCACTCATTAAGAGATGTACCGAACAAGTAAAGGGATTTCTTTACATGAAATTTGTACATGATGAGCAAAACTCGATCAACAACTTCCCGTGAAGTCATATCTACCGCAAGAAGAGTGGACCACACCACACCATGTTATAATCCTGAGACTTGTTATAAGGTTATGACTTTTATCTTTAGAAATTACAACGTTTGATTCAACTACTCGTAAAGTCAAGACAAACCCTTATTGGCAGAGAACTCAAGACTTATATTTATCAACACAAAAAACTGAAAAAGAAAAGTAAAGAGAAGGGAACTATTTGGGCCTAAATCATTGATAAACTTTAAACTCATTGAGATTAAGCCTATCTCCATCTTAATATAGAATTTAAATAATGCACATCCCTTTTTACACTTGTGATATAGCAAAAGCAGCAATAAAAATAATAGATGCATGAAACCAGTCCAGTATTTAAGAAATTTGATACGGTGGAACTGTGGAAGTGGAGAAATATTAAGAATACATTGATAAAACGAAGCAACAAACGTACTTTTTTTGTATTCATCGTGACATCAAAAGTATTTTTGTACATATTTCAAAGCCTATATATGTACATTGCGAAAGAAAAAGAGAAAAGAAAGCATATATGTAAATGTGTTATAAGTAACTCATCAATAGTGAGTCACTTTGACTCAACAATCAAAATCAGTGCTGTTTCTTTGCTGAAGATGATTCTCCTCCATCATCTCTAGGATGTTTCTTACGCTGGTATTGAATCCGGTTTGATACTTGAGCTTTGGTGACTTCAGCTTCGTTCATCAGCCTTTTTACTTCTTCAGCAGTAACAGATGCACCTGAATAATGTATATTAAGTATTAACAGTTTTAGTATATATACAATAGAGGGAAAACAACTAAAAATAAAAAAGAATAAAAGAGAGGAGATAAGACAATAATTACTGTATAATCCACCAAGACTTTCAATGGCTTCATCAAAAGCATGCTTCATCTGATCCGTCCAGGTAATCTGGGTGTGGGCATTGGTTTGTTTCTTGGGCCTGTAACCGCAGATAGTGGGCCTCCCAACATGAGCCGGGGAATAGAGATGTTACCGGACTGGAAAGTTGGTAATGTGGAGAATGTAGCCGCCGGAAGAGAAGATTCCGGTGGTGTCGGTGTTTCAAGAGTGAGCTCAGTGGATGGACCAGTCGGCGGTGGTGGGAGCGGGGAGCAAGAGTTAACCAAAATTTCAAGTGTGGTCGATACCAGATTGCTCTCTGCGAACAGAATCAAGAAACGTAAGAGAAAGTTGAGAAACCATTAAAGAATCAAAAATAAGAATCAAGAAGAACGTCTATCTTGTTCTGAATCAAGATCTTCTGAATGTTTCCACTGTATCTCGACTTCTCTCAGCTCATCCTCAACTACACTCTCTTCTCTCTCACGCTCCTGGTTCATTTTCTCATGTTCCTCCACCGCTTTCTCTTCGTCGTCGAGTGCTTTCTTCTGATCATCAGTCATTATGTTTGCTCTCCTACGCTCAGCGATCGCTTTCTTCTGAGCTTCGATGTCTTTCTTCTCGTCCTCGATCTGCTTTCTCCGATCTTTGAGTGCGTTTCTCCGTTCTTGAAGATGATTTGCTCTTTCCACAAGCTGTTTTCTCCACTCGGCTCTCTCCTTCTTTGCATCTTCGAGTTTCTTCAAGTAAGCCTGGATTACAGCGATTTTCTCGGGAATCGTTTGAGCTCTTTCGACCTCTTCCATATAGCTGCTCGACAGCTTGACCACCATATTGGTGGACATGGCGACTGATGATGAGTTCGTTCGTGTTCAGCGAACACACTTTTATACGTTGGGATAAAATAAGAAGTTTTTTAGTTACCCTTTTGTCAACTACTTTACAGAATTTATAATTTAACCCTTCTCAAATAATAAATCTACATTATCCATTTTTTGATCGTTATAACTTAAGGGCATGCCCATTAGAGGTTTAGGAGAGGTTTATTGCACAGAAACCTAGGTAAACTGAATAAAAATAATGATTTATGTGTGATACTGTCTCACGGGAGCTCCTCATTGTGAACCTGTATCACAACTTTTTCGCGGGCCCCACGCCACGTGGCGGCCCGCGATTGGTCCACTTATTTTTTTTTTTTTTTTTTAAAAGTCAAACAAAAAAATAATAAAAAAAAGAAAAAAAAAGTTATAAACCCCTCATCAGGTTTACTGATGGGGATGGTCTAAAGCGGACAATTTGTCTACATTTTGGATTCGGTTCAATCTCAGTTCGGTTTATTCGGTCCAACGAAATATAGTCTGGTTCCGTGTATGCTCGGTTTAGTTATAACTAGTTACAAGATCAATTTATAAATCACAACATAATAATGTTATATCTTATAAAAATGAACTACATTCAGTTACTTTAAGAAAATGTGTTTGGTTTGGTTCTGCATGGGTTGGTTTGTCTTGGTTTGGTTCGGTTTTGTGCTAGTTCCTGACTTCCTGGTTCTAATGATAAAAAACTGCATTTTGAGAATATTATTCGGTTCCTTTACTTTATTTTACATAATTACACTATAGGTCGTCTTCAAACGTAAAGTTGGAATAATCTTGAATATTATTAAGTCGACAAATTACATGCATATGATAAAATGTATATATCCTTAACATATAAACCCCAAAATGTAAATCATATTTTCCATTGTTTAAATAACCACCTAACCAGGTTCATTTCAAGATAGTTATTTCATCAGATAGTTAAAACCTTCTTTTGTCTTCAGTTCTTATTCTGGATTTGGGTCATAACTATAGGAACCAAGAATAATCACAACTAATCTACAATAGTAATCTATTAATAAGAACAATTTCAATTAATGTGAAAGGTTGTGAATTCTATATATGGTGAAAAATTGTGTTTTCATCCGAAATATTGCATTATTTAAAAAATAAATTGTTTATTTTATATGTATCTTTCCAACATACTATTCTAAAAAGTATTCTTTATACGAATTGTGTCTTTTCATCATAAAATATATATTAAGTTTAAAAAAACAGCTCAATATCCCAGAAAGTGTCATTGTACAATTATTTGTTTCAAGAGTTGTGTATTAGTTAGTGTAAAAATGCATGTCTTTCCATTATAAAAAAATTATAATAAATGAAATGTATTTTTTATAATAAAAGTGTATTTGAAATGATATGTACATTCAAAATATATTGTAAAGGTATCATTTTGAAATAACTACCTCTAACTTAAAAATTATGACTATTTATAAAAAAGTAATTAATTTTAATTTGAAAAGTTATGACTATTGATATAGATTTTTAAAAATCTATAAATAGTCCAAGTTCATGAGTTTTGAAAGTAAAAATCTCACTAATCCAAAAAATGGTGAAGAATAAAATTTCTATGAAATTAGTTTGTTGCAAATTTTTAGAAAATATTCAAATATTTTTTTATTTCCTTACATTTTTTTCATATTTGATCATGTACATGTTTTTAGAACACATTTAGTTATATAATTTTTTATTAATTTAAAATATTATATATGTAAGGGGTTTGATTTTAAAATGAATCCACTCCATTTAAATAATAAGTAAATTGTGATGAAAAATTAAGATCTGAAATATTAACATAATATTAAGATATTTACATATTAAAATGTTAATGTTTTTATAGTCTATAACATGTTAGTCACAAAAGTGACTTTGATATTTACTTATAAATATTAAGAGTGATAAGAGTATGATTGATAATGTAATTAATTAGATGCTACAATTAGTATTAAAGTTTCTGATGATCAATTATTTTATTTTTATATTTTTGGAGATTATCCAAAGATGAATCATTGGATATAGTCAATCATATGAAAATGCTTAATCATTTCTTTTATAATATTTATACCAAATATAGAATATTATCTGACTTGAGTTTGAAATGATTAATCATTAAAATGTATTTTGATTTCCTTGAAAGTGTTTTTGTTTAGGATTTTCCTAAAATTTGCTTAAATACAAACTTGAGTGTTTATATTAAGCTAGTAAAGTTGCAAAGCAGTAAAATGTAAACATGTATAAAAGTATGTAGCTTCATCAAATTTGTTTATATTTGTTAACTCTCACTATAAGAAAAGAAGCTCCTTGGTTCAAAAAAGAAAAAATAAAATAAAAAAGAAGCTCTTTAGCTGGAAAAGGCATTTTCAATGAATTTTCGACAGAAGGATCATTGTTTTTATTTTTCCTGAACAAAAAAATCATCATTTTCTTGGGACTATCTGACGAATTTCTAGTGAACTACGACAGTCATATTTTCGACAAAGTGCCCAGGGAATATTTATTTTCAGAAATTTTCAATAAATATTATATGTCAGAAATTTACAATGAATATCATCCGTTAGAAATTTCCGATGAATACAAAATAAATATTAATTTTTATTTTCTGTAAATGAATATAGATGCGTGTAGTTTACGTTGCGACTCAAAGACTTCTTCTAAACAAAAGTAAAAAATTACCTAAAATATAAATTACTAAAACATGATATATTTATTTTTATAAAATGAGTTTTGTGCTCTATCGCACGGGTTTCTTACCTAATAATAATAATAATAATAATAATAATAATAATAATAATAATAATAATAATAATAATAATAATGTAATATTCAGTCTGTTGATGTAAATACATATAAGTAACAAGTTGGATAAGAAATGTGAAAATCTGTTTCTTTGGGTCTATATGTGCAATGTGAAAATCTGTTATCCATTGATGAAGATGATAAGTGTTTATTACGTCGTGTATATGCATTTGAGAAAAACAACTCTATGCCATTGTAAATCATCCGTTTATTTATAATTTAATATGTTGAACGGTTCTTAATTAAATCAGCGTAAAACAATTTAACTGTACAATAAAACTGCTCCTTCAAGATGAAGATAGAGGATTTTTGCTAGAACATATGCAACGTGGTGTTTAGTCTTGACAAACATGATTTTCATAAAATCTTCAAGGTACTTGCCCTTTTTCAAAATTTTACATTACAAATTTTTATTACTTGTATATTTTCTATATTAGCCTAGGGCCCTGAATAAAATTTGAAATTTTTGGCCCGGCCAATAATTCCACATGAAAATAGTTTATTTAAGTGGGAACCCATAAAAAGACAATAAGTAAGAATTTGGTGGAACGTTATTGTGAGCAACTATAGCTAAAACCTATCTTGATCCTCAGTTCTTGTGTTTGGTGTTGAGCCTGCATTAAACAACAAAACAGAGTAATCATTAATTAATTATATATACTTACATTCATTAGTTAATGATTATTATATACTAACACGTACAGTTTCAAAAAATATATATATACTAACACAATATTTAGAACAATCTATACTATTATCTGCGAAGTGATTTTTTTCGCAACGGATCTCTCACGTTAAAAGTTGGAGTGGTTAATATCGTTTATACCCTTAATGAATAAAATATATAAATCATCATCCAAAAATAAAAACGAATTTAATACTTATTTGATTAGAAATGATTTAAATTAATAATAATGATAAGAATTATCCATAATCGAAATACATATTTAAAAATAAAAAGATAATTCCTATATAGATATTGTGTTGTTATCCGGAAAATATATTTTAATTCAAAAATTCAAAAATTGAAAACATATAAATAAATATTCATAAAGTAAAATTTTTAGTTGTATATAATTCAAAAAAAGAAAATTGAAAATTTATAATACGTAATTATTTTTAAATTAAAAGAATATAATAATATAATATAAGGATATATATCTGTGAAGTTATTTTTCGCCTCTGAACTCACACGTTAAATTAAATTTATATTTATATTTTATATAGTTAAACCTTAAGAAAATACGTGTTTGACAAAAATAAATTCAAATATATTGTATTATTATCTAAACTAATGTTATTTCTTTCTATAAGATCAATTTTTGAATGTAAATTTATCGATTCAATTTTTCAAATTTTTTTATCAATTAAGAAGAAATGAAATAGACTTTAAAGTTTTCAAAGTTTCAAATGAATTAGTTTGTAAATAACTTATCATGTAAAAAAGTTTAATGTTTTAGGTCGAATTTTTTGGATGCAAACAATCATTTATTTGGATGTTTTTTTAAATTGATTTAAAAATAATGAAACTTATTTGATTAGATAAATGATTTAAATTAATAATAATGATAAGAATTATCCATAATCTAAATATATATTCATATAAAAATATTTAATGTTTGATTTAGGTTTTTGAAAACTATAAAAAATAATTTATAATATTATTTTAGAATTAATAAAACAAAAAAATAATAAATATTCGTAAGAAAATTAAGCCCGCATGTGCGGACAAAATACCTAGTTATTATAATAATCATGTAAATCCTTTGATGTAAATCAGTATTGTTCAACTTACTTTTGCATGGCTTTAATGACTTGATCTGATGCGACACCTACGCATCTTTGTGAGATTCTCGTTCATTTAATTTTCTTCTCTTCTCTGCTATAATTTTTCTCTCCTCAGCGAGAATCTTCTTTTCCTCAGCGATAAGCCTTTTCCTCTCGACAAGTTTCAATTTATTCTCGTTGATGATTCTTCGCCTCTCGTCGAGAAGAACACGACTGCAAGAAATTAATATAACATCTCAAGAAATTAACGAGAGAATCAAATATATATATATATATATATATATATATTTGGTCAAATACCTGCAGCTCTTTTGATCTTACGCTCATGGAGTTCCTTAAGACGGTCTTGTAATTTTGATATTTTTTCTGAAACTGATTCGAGTTGTGAGATTTCTTTCATAAATTCACCTATATCCTTCATGGGGGTTGGACCTGGAGGCAAGCTTGGAAGAGGAGTAAGCTTTGGCAAGAGTGGGGGAGGAGGAAGCGTTCTATTAAAAATGGAAAGAAAATGATCAAAACCAACATGCAAGAGAAATTAATCAACTTAATTAGTTCATAATTAATTAAAGCTACCTCTTGTTCAAGGATATTGGTGTATAAGGTGAGTGAATACTCGGATGACAAGTTAGGTATAAATGTGAACGCAATTGTTTGATTTTAAATGAATAACGCGAATGCACCATCTTGAGAAGAGATCTGCCTTCTTCTATCTCTGCCAAATAAAACCCTGATTCTTTCTTTCAGTTTATACATATATATAGGGGTTAATTGTTTGATAATAAATATTAAATAATATATATATTTGCTAACCACTCTACTTAGAAATTATCCGTATTTTTAGATTATTATAGGCGACACCGTTACGATCACTAGATATCAAATGAAAATATTCTTTAGTAAAATCGAAACAACGAAAATATTCTTTAGCCGTGGAGGATGAGAACAAAGGAAAGGAGCTGGCAACTGGATAAGCTGAACTGGCACTGCTGCAACAACTTGAGAGCCAAAAACAGAGTCTGTTAGTTAGGCATTTTCTAGAAAACTGTTTGGGATCCGAAGAGTATGTTCTTTCTAGATTTGGGCTCAATATCGAGTTATTGACTAGAGATTGTTCTGGTCATTTGTATAGAGACAATTCCACAGCTTCATACCCACCGAAAATCCAACAATGCCATTAGAAAATCTTTAGACCACAAGAAAGTTCATGTGCAAACAAGTAAGAATCTTGTGATGAGCTCACCGTTGATGCCATTAGTGTTTTATCATCTCATAGGATAGTTAACAATGTTAAAACATGGTACACGGAAATTAGACATTTACACCGATTTTTAAAAAGCTCATTCTAGAAAAATAGTTTCCTTTACCCGATCCAGTTTACTGCCTAGACAGATGTTTAAATGCAGCTAAACTAATTTATATAGAACACTGATAGTTAATGCATTGTGTTTGGGATGAGAGAAATCCCGTCTATTCCCTTCAATATGCTTTACAAATTACAATTTAACATTCATGAATCTTACAAAGACTATTTTTTTTACTCATACAAATTATATCATTCTTTTCACCTGTCTAAAGAAGTGAAAAAAGGAACCAGAGACATCTTTCTTGGACTCTGACTCCATGATCTTCTTCTAGGCGAAGGCATGGAAGACATCGTCCTCTCAGGATTTCTACTTCTTCTGCTCTTTGTTTTTCCCTGCATCAAGATTTTAAACAAATTTCTCTTATGAATTCATCTGCAAAAAAGCTACAGGATTAAAGCTTCTGTCTAACTATATCTTACCTTTAATCTAAAGTGATCCAGTTCACTTTCAAGTAAACCAACTCTTGTCTTAAGCTGTTCAAGTGCCTCTTCAGCAACTTCAGGGTTTATGTCTGTTATATCTTCTCCTGTTACACCTGCTGCCTGAGTAAAATTTGAATCCACACAAAGATGATGTTCAGATCATCGGAATTGCATAACTTATTATACTGAGAAACCATGATGATCTCTTACCTTTAAGATACTGGTGGAGAGACATAATAGCTGCTTACCCAGCTGCATTCTATCCTCTTCGCTTTCCTTCAGTTTTGTACTTAAATGATGCATTTTTTCAAAGTTTGAATGTTGGTTCTTTCCTGAAGATGATCGGTACCAAGCAAGCTCTTCTTTAGCACGAGAAATATGCACATCTGCTCGTCGTAGCTTCAGATTGAGCTCATCAAGCTGAAGTTTTAACACATTGTTTTCTTCCTGTTGCATATGATAGATATGTAAAAGGGTAGTCAGCACTAAAATAAAGAAAGTGAATAAAGAAACACACAGACAAGTATTGAGAGTTGGAGATTTCTTCTTGCCTTGATTCTAGCATGATCACGAGTTCTCCACTCGGGATTTTGTTGGGACGAAAGCTTCTCCACTTCTCCTTCAAGTTCCATTAGTTTTCTTTTATGACTAACATTCTCCTTCTGTTGAAAGTCAGAAGATTTAGACACTTTCGGTGGTACTAAAATGGAATAATGGAATGCCAATGTTCCTGATTTTCAAACCTTCAGGAGTTCGTTTTCTTTCTTGAGCAGTTGCTCATGCTGCCTATGTTCCTCCAGTTCTATCTGTGCAGTAACTAAATCTGTCTGCTTTCCTTCAATCTCCTCTAGCCATCTGCATCAAGACATCGTAAAGAAAACTACGATAAAAACATCTGGAAGGCGCCAAAATCCATCTTCCTCTATTGAGAACTTGACAGAGTAAATCACTTGCTTACCCTTGCTTTTCCTCATTATATTCACTGAGTTGCCTCTTGAGCTGAGAGACTTCAACATCCTATATACGAAAAAAGCTTCAGACGAGAGATTTTTGATTATAGTATCAACAGCTTATTAATCATTCTTCCAAAGAAAATACCGTTTCTTGTGAATCTGAACTATAACGTTGAAGCATCTCTGCTATCTTTGATACTTGCTGACTATCCAATAACGACTGAGAAAGAAAAAAAAAACGTAGAAGATATAGAGATCAATGACTGAAATATACTTCAGTAACATGAGCAGAGAAGATCCGTATGTTATGTAAAAGAAAACATAAGTTAAACAGTTGCTTACTGCACAGTTCTGTTTGAGTCCGAGCATAACTCGAGTAATATCATGAGTCATGCTATCCACCTTGGCGAGTTTTGAGTTCAATAAAAATATCTGGGAGCAAGAAAGATAAGGTCAAAATACCATATGGATGCAAAATGTTACAGTACAACACATTTTCAACTAGTTACCTCTTTCTGCTTGGTTGCAACTATAGTTTCAAGCTCTTCAATTCGTTGCCTTGCAGAAGCAAGCTCCTCATCCTTCTCAGATCTCATTTGTTGTGCAAGTCCCAACCCTATGCATCTGAAAGGAGAGCCAGAACCCCGAGGCTTCCCTGAACCTTTATTCAATGAAGATTCCACAGCTTGAGAAACATGAACTTCTGGTTTTACTTGCTCAGCCATTGCCTCCAGTTCCTTAACCTATTTGGCATGGAACAGTCTAAGTAACGCTAGTCTTTGGTAAAACAATTGAACCTAGTGAATCTATAAGGAACCATCTTTACCTTATGCATGTATTCTCTAGCCTGAGCCTCTGCATGCATATTTAATTCCGAGATATGCGCGCTGAGCTGAGTAATCTGTTGCAGAGTGAACATACACATAATCAGAAATTTTAAGTCTGACTTAGAGTTAAGAATCAATCACTGTTCAAATAGATTGTTACCTCGGTCTTTTGATTAGCCGTATTTCGCACAAGCACTTCTATATGCCTCTGAGCTTCCTCAAGATCCATATGCTTTTCATCTAAAACTCTTTGACCACACAAAATAAAGGAATGAGTTGTTTCAAACATATACCAGTTTATGTTGCTTAGTTTTTTCTAACCTCTTCATTTCCTCGTCAGCATTTCTAACACTTTCCATCTGCTGGCGTATGGTGTGAAGCTCCGTCTCCAGCTCCTCCCTTTGCAGACGCTGTCTTTCAGCTTCAACTTTTACAACGTTAACCTATTGAAATACGCCTCCATCAGAAAAGTAAACACAGGGACAAAATTAAGCTGTTACATAGTAAAATAATGATTATTGCTAACCTTATTTTCAAGTACATTGATAGTATACTCAAGCTGCTCAACTGATCCCTCTAGTAGCTTCACTTCTTCTTCTCTCTGATCGCCATACATTTTTCTTGACTCAGCAATCTGTGACCAGAGGAGAAACACGTGAACGTAAGTACTGCAAAAAGGGTTGAGAAAATGGACATGTTTTGTTAAGTCTAACGGTGCTGTTGTCTACCTCTTGAGCTTCTATGTACCTAACTTCTAGTTCTTTAGCCTCAGCTTTCATTTTCCCAAGTTCTTCTGTCAGATATAAAACTTCATCTTGGAGATTATCCCTTTCATCGCTGGTCTCATCTAATTTGCTCTGGGTAAACTCAACTTTATCATTCAGTTGTCCGAGAGCATTTCTTAGATTAAAGAGCTCCATCTCCATGCTCTCTGATACCTTCTTTATCTGGACCAACTCCTCCTCTAAAGAGCTTTTCTCTGCTAAGAGATCTTCAGCCGCTGCTATAATTTCTTTATTTTCTGCTGAGAGCTGTTTTTGGCACTTAATTGCCTTTTCAGTATCCGTCTCAAGGTTGCATATAATATCTTTGCTCTCTTGCAGCTGAACTTCAAGCATTTGGGCGACAGAAACAGCATCTTCTAGTTCAGAGGTTTTCGAAGCTAGTTTCTTTTCCAAAGCTTCAACATGAACCATGATTTCCTTTGTTTCATCTTTCTTATCCCTGGACTTGGAAGCAGATTCTTGTAGTAGGCAGAGGTCAAAAGACAACCCCTTCAGAACATCATCCTTTCGTAAAAGCTCATCCTGGAGATTCAGATTTTCAGACAGCAAGTCTTCTACATCAATCTCCAAAGCTTGAACAGTGTCTGCGAATTCCAAAGCCTTATTGGAGTTTTCACATAGCAGTTCGAACATTTGCTCAGAGATTACCAGACCATCCCTGGTTACTTTCTCCAGTGTTATGCCATCTTCAGAACATTTGGCAATGTTTGAGCTCGTGACATCTAATGCTTTTAACTGATCTTCACCAAAATGTATAAACTTGCGCTTAAGGTAGCTGTTTTCATTCTTCAGCTCACTGACAGTATCAGCATAAACTTGTATATCCCTTTCTTTGATACCCAACTCTCCTGCAGTGATGGACTGGGAATGTTGAAGACGGTCAAGTTCAGAAGCTTTTATCTCTAAATCTTGCTGTAGGTCAGAAACGCGAGACTCCAAGAAGAAGACTCTTTCTCCAAAACCCTTGTTTACTTCATCCATTTCGACAGTTTTTTGCACACTGTGACTAAGATCTGAAGAGAGAACCTTGATTTTTCTTTGCGCTTCAGTCAGCCTTTGTTTCATTGAAACGATCTCCAATTTGTTATCAACCAGACAGAGGTCTTTGAGCTCACTCTCCACCTGGGACACAAACAATTTCTCTTTAAGATCTTCAAAGATGGCCTGATGATCAAGAAGCTCTCTATCCAAAACTGCGAGACAAGAAGAACATTCTTTTACTTTTTGCGCCAGAACAAGTGACTCAACATCCTTTGAGCAGAGATCCATCAAATAATGCTGAACTTCAGTGTCAAAGAAATCCCTTTGCTCATTCAGAGTTTCTGCAAGGTTTCCATTGCTCAAATCTATTTCTTTCATCAAAATATCAAGCTGAGACCCCATGCTGTCAGATCTTTGCAACATCAACTCCTCCTGGTACTGTAAACCTGAAATTTTCTGCTCAAAATTTATTAATTTTGTAGTGAGCAGATTAGTTGCTTCTTCATTTCTTGAAACTCTCTCAAAACCATTCTTTATATCAGCCAATAGTTTACCCTTGACCGTTGTAAACATTTCAAGCTCCCTTCTTAACCTGAGATTGTTATCTCTTAATCCGGCTATGGAAGAGTTTGATTCACACAGACCACGTTGAAGCAGACCATTTTCGGCATTCACCCCCGTAACTGTTTCCAACAAAACCCCCATATGGCATAGATGTAGAACTGAGAGAGCACAATCCTTCATGATTATTTCTGACCAGATATCCTCGAGGAACAACCTAGCTGACTCTGTTTCTGAAACCGAAGACTTTAACTCAGATAAATCATTGGCCATACCAGTCAAGGCCTCAGATGATTCGTTTTGTAGTTTTCTGACAACAGTTTCCAGCTCTTCGACAAGATCTCCTACACCAATCAAACTTGACTCGAATAGCTTCTCAAGGTACTCAACCTTTTCATTGTCTTTGACATTTATGGATTCCAGCTCCTGCAGTTTGTCAACTAAGGTGTTTCTCTCTCCAGCCAAGCTGATTTCCCTTTTCTTCTGTTTCTCCAGGTCAAGTTTCATCATTTCATTCGCTATTATGAGCTCGTTGATGGCAATATCTGCTTCTTTAATAGTCCATTGAGCCTCCTCAAATTTCTGAAGAACACATAAGTTTTCTACATGTCCCTGGCCAGCCTCTAGCTTTATCTTAGAAAATCCATGCTCCAAAGTCTGTAAAATAGCTTGGGAACATTAGAAAAAAGAAGAAGAAGAGAGAAATCTCGTAGCATCTGAGTGTGTTACTTGCCTTAAGTTTATGATCTGTGACTTCTATTTTGTGCTCATATTGTTCTTTCATGCTATTCATCACAGCCTCAAGGTTGCAAAACTGTGCAGCCAGATCGTTCAAGTTGCTTAAGCTTCTTTTCTCAGACGCCTTTAGCTCTTCCTTCTCATCCTGGAGTCTGGCCATCTCAAATTGCACCTCCTTCAAACTTACAAGAGCAGATTCCATTTCTTGCTTTAGCAGTATAATCACCTTACCTCTCTCACTAGACACCTGGTTGCTAACTCTCATGGACTCCGTATGATTTTTGTTTGGAGTCTTCTCAATGCATGACGAGACAACTACATTCCTTCCAACTTCCTGTATGAAAAAAAAATTCCAGCAAAGGGCTAAGAACAGAACAATACATAATAAGCTATGCTCGTTAAAATAAGAACACTTGCAGCTTACCTGTCCTTCACTACAGTAGGCTGGGGACCCTAGTGATTTTTCTGCCTCAGTGTCTTTTCCATGTTCTTGACACATGTTTATGCATGACCTCAGTCCAGATACGGCACCCTTAAGCTCAGAAAGCTTCTCTTTCATGGCGGAAATGCTAGTCTCCTCAATTTCGTCAAGCTTTCGTTCCATAGCAGAAGCATTCTTTTCTTCGTCCAGAAGTTTGCTTCTAAGTTCTCCACAGGTTGCTTCCAAATCTTGTACTTGTTGCTTCAGAGAAAGAATTGTTCCAGCAGAATCCTCAAGCTGGAGATTCTTTTGCTTCAACTCAAAAGTTTGGGATTCGATTACCTCGGAATACCGGTTGACGATTACTAGAGAAGCTGTTGCACAATGTGATGCATCATTAATCCAACTTTCAGCCATCTTCAGCTTCTCTAGAAGCCTTGATATGGCCTCTGTTTTTGTGCACAACTGCGTCTTCAAGAGGAGAACATGCGACTCCTTTTCCTCGTACTCTCTCTGGTGAGCTTCATTCATCACTAATGCTGCCCCTCTAAGAGACTTCAACATGGATTCTATATCACATTGCTTTTGATTGGCATCCTCTAAACAGCTTTCAAGATCTTCGATCATTAATTCTCTCTCAGAAATTGTTCTTATTAGCCCTCCAACCTGTTCAGATATCCATATCCTTTTATCTGGAAAGGAACCCGAAATTAGATCAGCTTGGTAACATGCATCTGTAAGGCCTTCATTCCCGCTCAGCAAAATTTCTTCAAGCTCAGATGTGAGAAGTTCCATTTCGTTTGAAATGATCTGTAGTTCCATTTCTTTGCTTCTGAGATTTTCTTGCAACTGTTCATTATCCATGGTCATATCTCGCAAGTTATCCTGCAGCTCCTCCATCCGAGTTTCCAAAAGCTTTACCTTCTCTTCAGTAACGTTTTCTTTTGATTGGAAATCATAAACCTCCTTCTGAAGAACTTCCAGCTCGTTCTGCAAATAGACAATCACCTCAGCAGTTTCAGCTTCGGCTTGCCTTTGAACTTCGTCCGTTTCTTCATCTCCACATGCCTTAGAAGCAATATCATTCTTGAACAGCATGTTCAACCTCTTAGCTTTTTCAAGAGACGCTTGCATTTTCTTGAACTTGGCATTAATAGCATTGTCCTCTTCAGGATTATCTTTGAACTCATTGCACTGTTTGGACTTCATTGCTGGGATGTCAAGCTCTTGCTTTTGTAAAAGTTCAGTATAGTTCTCCTTTATTCTCCTCAACTCTACAGCTTCTTGAATCAATGTACTGTTTTGCGACTCGAGAGCTTCAACCACAGACTGTGTCTCCAGCAGTTCACTGTTTACATTTTCTTGCTGCTTGCTCATCATAAGTAGTTGGTCCTTCAACTCTCCAATATTAAGTTTCAAGCGAACTGCCTGTGCCTCTGTATCACCACGTAGTGTTCTTTCCTCATCGAGTATAATTTTCAGTACATCCAAATCAAGCTGCAGTTTGATGATTTCTTCCACGTGGTTGGCCTGCTGACCAGCAAGTGTTTCGGTCCGATCAAAATTTTGAGTTTCCAGCAGGGCCTGCAATTTTTTGGCAATATTCAACTATTAAGTGAAAACACTCAAGGATAACCTGCAGAAATAATATCACAGATGGTTGTGCAGATTAGTTGACCTTTTGTTTGTTCGCACTATGTTCATCAGGTGTGGAAGCTCTGATATCGCTGACCATAGCCTGAAGATCATGGATTTCCCTGCAGAAGATGGGCGAGAAGACTTATAACGGCTATGGTAAAAATGAGAAGTCCTTTGGCCATATGCAAGGATACAAAAAAGAATCGTCAATCAGAAGGAGGTCTTTTTTACTAACCTACTAAGCTTTGCATTCTCTTCCAGGCAAGAACCAAGGTTAGTTCGGCATTTTTCAAGCTCGTTAGAGGTCTTTTTTAACTGCGGTGGAAAAGATCAAGAAACTGAGATTAAAATGGTATTACAGAAAGAAAACAGGAGAATTACTTTTGAGCAAGAAAGTGATTCAACCTCCTCCTGTAGTGAATAATTTTCTTTGCTAATACGTAATGCATCCTGCGCGATAGAGAAGCCAAAATCCTTATTAGAGCAAAATAGAAAAAGACTAATGGCACAATGAAGAATAATTGAACATATGTAAAGGGGAAAATAGATGTTACCTGTGGCTCTGTTACATCATCATGATGTTTTTGCCGGTCAGAGTTTTCATTAAGAAACTGGACGAGCTGCACATCAATAGCTAGGGTTAAGTATGGTATTGCAAACGAAAAGATATCTATACTAGGATACGGTGCTAACTATAGTCACCTGGCTTCGTAGATTAGAGACTTCGCCTTGTAGAATTTCTCTCTCACCTTCCTCGTAGAACTCTTGAAATCTGCAAGTACCATAATAACAAAGCTTAAGAAAACACACACATGCAGACATTTTTTTTTTATTTCAGCTTTAGACGCTTCCTAAACATATATCACCTTCTAAGTTGGTCCAGAAGCCTTATGTTTTCCAGGGCAAAGCGAGTCAATTCAGGATTTTTATCAATTTTAGCTTGAAGCAACTGATTCTCTTCTGACAGCACGTTATTCTCTTCCAACAAAAAAGAGTCTGCAGATATCTGGTTGCCAAGAAGTGATTCCAGCCTCTGTATCTTGTCTTCTCGAAACCTGAGCATCATTTTTGTGCTCCTAGTATCTTCCTCTCTTTGCCGAACCTAAAAGATAAATTGGCATAAAGAGATTCAGGCTCTAAGACATAAGTGGAAATGGACCAGTGTAAGTGAAAAGGAATTACCAAACGGTTTAGGTGCTCAATCTCAGCTTCAAGCTTCTTAATTGAAGCATCAGCCACATGTTCTCTTCTCAATGAACCAGCAAGTGTTATCTCCAACGATTTCAACTGATATATACATAGAGTTTTAGCAGAATCTCAAGGCAGAGGCATATGAGTCATTAAAATTTCTTAAAGTCAATATACCTGCTTTCTAGACATCCGTACACAGCCTCCAGATTCATACACAAGTGAATTACTAGCATGTTGACGGCCTATCTCCTGCAATTCATTCGATGGAGAATCGACTTGGAATTCTGCAATGTTGGCTGTTGCTGATCCAAATGACAATGCCCTTGAGATGTTCTGGCGCTTGAGGAGGGAAAGCTCTTCCTGTTCCACACACACAGCAAATTATCTCAGTACAGCAACACATAAAGAGCACCCTAGTGATAGTTCAAAATGTCAGACCTTCAGAAGTCGGATTTGACGACGTAATTCCAGGACATCTCCATTGGCATCTTCGTTGACCACAGCCTAATGAATTTGGAGCATAATATTTATTCAGAGGTTATTCATGATTCATCACCCTCATCAATTACATATGGATAACAGTTCAAACTTACATTATTCTGGATTAGCTTGGCTCTCTGAGCAAATTTAAGTGTGTTTAGCGTTTCTGCTGCACAACTGCCAGTGATAATAAACCAATAAATTGAATTTATTTACAGACTGTAAAAGTTTATGTAAATATACTAGATCAAGTTAGTGTTGAAAGAATACCTAACGGAAGGACTAGCATTAGCAATGATCATTGTTTTTGAATTGCCACCCAGTGAGTCCTGTAGATAAATGATTACCGTTATAGTGCCATGAAAAAATAGACTACAACTTAACGAAGAATGGCAATGAATTCAGATTTAACCTGAAGAAGAAATGTCAGCCTTGAATCACGATATGGAATATGCCTTGGTTTACCATTTGCAACATCCACAAGAACCATAATGACATGTCTGCAATCAAGATTAACAAAATAGCAGGATTCAGCGAAACAGGTAATTTATAAAACGATGTATGCAAAGGAGTAACTGTTCTTTGGTTACCCTAATGTGGATAATGATTTATTAATATTAGCAGCTTCTTTTAGGCGGTCACCCTCAGCGCCAGAAGTTTTTTGCCTGTTACAGAATGTAGAATGTAAGAAGAGGTTTCTAAGGAAGTGCCAAAAGCAAAAGGCACCATAGTTACCTCTCTGATCCAGCAAGATCAACCAGGTTCAGTCTTGCAAAACGCATATTAGTTGTTGAGTCTTTTTCCCATCTGCTCTCGATCACGCATGTAAATACACTATGTGATCGGCTGCTCTCTCTGTTCATATTTGTGGCTCCAACTTTTCGATTCAAAGAACCCTATTGTACCAAAGATGCTTAGAAACAATAAACATAAAACAATAATGTTTGGGAGACAACAATACTAACCTGTGTGATAAGCCCTAAGATGTCTTGAACACTCTCTACTTCAAACTCAGTGAGATTTTCCACATAGACACCGCTCTTAATGTCCTCTCGAAGCTAAAAAGTGAGAACATATTAGAAAACTACTCCTTGCATATCTGTTTACTTTCACCACCAAAAATAGTTTAAGAATACCTGCAAATTTGTTGAAGACGGTTCAAGAAGGTCTGTGATCTGTTCATTGTAAATCTCAAGAAAAGAGCATTTGCAATTGTACTTAAGTCTCTCGTCTCTTCTGCTCTCTTCCTCCTGCCAACAAGAACAATGATGTAAGATGTGAGTAGCAAAGTTAATAATGTCTGTAATAGACATGGACAAAGCAAATATCATAAGAGAAATTACAGCTTGTATTCTTGCAAACAAAAATTCAAATATCCGTGGCATCATTCCTCTGTTGGGACTTGGTTTAACTTCTAAATCACCAACTTCCCCGAGCATTGTGTATGTTTTTCCACTTCCTGTCTGCACAATCCCAACAAAATATTACAAGTTAAAATAATAAGTAATTCCAAAGAAGGAAAATATCTCCACTCGGTCCTATTCTATAAACTTAACTATCTCATCTCATTGTAACCTTGTAAGGGTTCTCATAGTCATCTCTAGAATGATAGAAGAATGTATGTACCTGACCATAAGCAAATATACAGCTGTTGTAGCCAGACAAGCAATTTTCAACCATGGGCAGACCAGCAACCCGAAAAAGGGTTTCCTACAGATGAAGAATGCTATACGTAAAACATGATTTCAACTAAGAAAAGGAAACCAAACATCATACTTTCGACCTGAGTCTAACCTGGTCAATTGTCTCACAAGCCACATGATCAAATAAAAACCGTGTCTCTGGTTGTCCAGTCCACGCTACACATTGCGAGCTTTCCTGCTTTAGGCACCTACTGTACCCATTTATACTCTTCTCCATGCTATTAAGCGGTCGAACACGTATAAGAATCTACAATACATTCAATTAAACTCATCATCAAACCAATGCTTTATGCCAAGAAATGAAAAATAAAAAAACAATATCGTTAAAGAAGCAACTTGGTATAGCTAATGAACATAAACAATCATGTCAAAAGAAGCAGCTTAGCACAGCTAATGAACATGAACAATCTTGTTAAGAGAAGCAACTTGGTACAGCTAATGAACCTAAATGCATACTATGACAGTGAACACGTAGAAGAGTAATGCAATTGAAGGAAGAAAATGATTTCTACCTGGACATTGTGATCCATCCAGAAAGATGGATCCTCCTTAAGGTCAAAGTGAGGAACTTCAACGGTATTAACAACACCTGAAACAACTTGCCTATGATCAGAGCTAGACAACCCTTTGTACAACGACGCATACCCACCTGCTCTGCCCCCATCAAGCTTCCCTCTGTAACAAGACCCCGGAGGAGGCTTAGACACGCTCTTAGTAGGCGTATTCTGAGCCGAACCGCTCTCCGAACCACCTCTCCCGACAACTCTACCAGTCTTAGGAGTCGTGTTCGTCACAGAACAACCACGCTTCTCCCCCCAACCGAACCGGTGCTTGTTGTTGTCAGGCGTTTTTAAAGGCAATGCTGGATCTGAGTTCTTGGGTTTGGTCTTAGACGGAGTTCGTTCGATCTTCCGGGGATCCTTAGGGTTGTTTAACGAATCGTGGATTGCGTTTAACGGAGCTCGTGGTAGAGAGATGGATGAGGAGGAAGAAGAAGAGGAGTCGTTGCTGGTTTGAGACAAGAACGAAGCTTGGAGATTCTCAGGGACGTTCTCGATCTCCTCGTGCTTTTTGCCGGAGTCTCTACGTGATAACTTAGCTTCCCTTAACATCGTGAATTCACGAAATCTGCAAATGAGAAATTGATAAAGTTAGAAGCTTTGGAATCACAGATGAAGCTGAAAGATTGAAACTTTACTTGCCTGTGTAATGAATTGAGCAGCAAAAATCCAAAATTTCTCTAACTACTGATATAATTAGCTCTCTCAATCACTCACTCACTCACTATATGATTTTTCTCTCTCTCTCTCTAGATTCGCATGATTTCAGCAGGAAAGGAGGAGGAGGGAGAAAGGAGAAGGGTGATGTAAAAGAGGCGGATGATGAAACGGACGGCTGAGATTGCATCGTATGTTTTGTGCTTTGTGGCGGATTCAAATTTGAATTTTTGGGTTTTAGGGCTTTCTCATGTAATAACTTCAGCTTGATGAGGGTAGTTTTGTAAATAAGCGACGTATTTTTTATTTTCTTTAAAAGATTCAACGACTAAAGAAGGGGACGAGGGCCCATCCTAAATTCAAATATTGCGTTGTTTATTACAAAGATATACTTCCCCAACGGCTTTTATATTCTTCGATCGAGATCATGAAACGCTTTATTTTAAACTGGTTTAATTTTTTGTTTGTGTTTAATTTTTTGTTTGTGTTTAATTTTGATCGGTTGATAAAAATTAGTCCGGGTTGACAATTGGATTCGGAACTCGACTAGTTGGTCTAGCTACAATAAAGAACCCGACTAGTTTTGGTCTAGCTTTTTTTTTTTTTTTTTTTTTTTTTTTTTTTTTTTAGCTTTTGTTATTGTCTTTGTAAAGATAAGCTATATATGTTCATATTCAACTCAACAAGACGCCTTGCCTTGCCTTCATGTCTACCAGATGTAATTGTAACATTCTAACTCTTTATCGTCTTGTCTCCTTAAGTTTATAGCAGAGTTACATGTGAGTCTTTTAAGTGAACATCTTAATTCCCTTTTTCTTGAACTGGGATGACAAAAATGGTGTTTATAAACTCAACATTTCTTGGCATATTCACAAGTGACCCACCTGAGCAACGTAATCTTGTCCTCGTGGGTTGTATATCTCATGCAGCTGTTTATGTTCTCTTAGTTTTCAACGTATAGTTTGCATTATACCCTCTCTTTAAACCCAATTTTTTTTTGCCTGTGTGTTTGTTTCTCTTTTCTTTTTCCTACTATTTCACTTTGTAGGTTTAAGTCCTTTTTCGTATAAAGCCTTTGCGTTGATGTAAGTACATGTTTTTCATGCAACTTCTGTTTCTGTTTTTGTTCTTTCTAAGTGTAATTTTTGTTGGTAGAGAAATACGAACCTCTCTTAATGTTTGCCAGCAAGGCAGGGCCGGCCGAGAACATAAGCGAGCAAATCTTTAAAATGAGGATTTGAGAGTTGATTACTCCAACCATAAAACCTCAAAAAAATCCTTAAAAGTTTATATTATTTTCATTATAATCTTTGATATTAATAAAAATTATGAATAATGACAATACTTCACAAATACATATAAAACATACAATTAATATACTATACAACACGTAATATTAAAATATTATATGATAAAATAATATAAATTACATATGTAATAAAATAACATACACACAGAAATGTTTTAGAAAGTTACATATAAAATACCACTTATAAGATATGCAATATTTAAATGTTTATATAATTTGCTTTAATTTATGTTAAGTTTGTTTAATGTTTTTTTTACGAGTTTTATTTAATGTATTTTTATATTTGTGTGAATTTAATTTTAATGTTATGTATTATTTATTATATTTTATTTTGTTTTGGTGTATTTAAGTTACTCTAAATAAAGTTATTAGATGTATTTTGAAAGAAAATAATCGTAAGGACTAAAAAATGAATAGTAATTTTTATGTTTTGAATAGTGAAACCCCAAATTTGAGGTGTCACTATTCAAAAGCTCAAAATTTGAAGATTTAGAATTTGGTTGGAATGATAAAAACCTCAAAATATGAAGATTTGAGGTTGGGTTGTAGATGCTCTTAGGGCATGTAATACGAAAATGGTATATTTTTTATAAAAAATTGTATTAAGTTTATCATCATTTATAATTAAAAATAAGTATCTTAGAAATTAATAGTAATAATTGTAAGTATTTAGTATTTTATAGTTTTATCAACAAATTTATTAACCAAAAGTATTATCAATTTATTAGTATTATTATTAAAACTACAAGTTTATATAAACTGAAAATTTCAATAAAATATATTTTTAATATACTAAGAAATTTTTTTTATTATAATCTTCTTTATTGTTGTTTTTATTCATTATATTTATTTTAATATTAATGAATTATTATTTAATATTTATGTAAATATAAAATAAAGATTAAAGGATTTCTTGTAGTCAATGATTATATAGAATTAACTACAATCTCAAAATAAAATTTATTACTTATCATATAGTTAACTTCATAAATATTTTAAATCTATATTTTATATTATTATAAAATATAAAAGAGACATGCAGCAAGGAAACCATGGCGAGGACGCTTTGCAAGGAACTTGGACTGGTGTTGCTTGAGTATTTCCAAACTTATGTAAATGGAAATGATGAAGATTTTTTTTTTTTAAATGATTAATTGTTTTTTTTATAAAGAATTGGTTAATTGTTTTGAATATATACAATATAAATAATCAACATAATCAAGTTTTTGAAATTTGATTTTACGGGATCTCAAACGATCAAAGACCAGGTTGGCTAAGCATCTCCAAATTGATACTACGATGAGGGGATCTTGTAGAGTACGGATCGAGGGTTTGAAGTGACAGATGGTGATTTTGAAGAGCTTGATAAGCCGTTGAGACAAAACTAATACTAGATTTGTAAGTTGTGGTTTTGGGTCTTGCAGATTAGGGTTTCGGCTCAAATCTCCTGATAATTCAAAAGAAAAAGAAAAGATCTATAACCAGTGCGTCTCTAGGTATGTGCCCAAGGAACATTTGCACAAGACTCATAATATTTTTGTAAATTTTAGTTAGGATTTAGGGTTTTCTACAAAAAAAAGTTAGGAGCCATTTTTTATAGATTACATGTATTATTTTTATAATTGCACAAGGATCGATAGATGATTGAGACGGGGCTATTTATAACCACAAGTAACTGTGCAAATATATAGTCGTTTGGTGATCTGTGACATGATTCACAACAACAATGAGATGTAGCAGCTTATTATCGGTTTATATCCACTGCAACATATGTTAAGTTAATTGGAGGTTGTATAAACAAATATGACTTCGATCAAAAAAAAAAGTATGAACAAATATGACTAGTCTCTTATCAATATGAACATTTTTTTTCTTTTCAGAAAAAGAAATATGGAACATTTTTCAATAACACAAAAAGATGGAAAATTACAATATATGTTTTAGAACTGATAATTACTCGTCTGGTTATATTTCAGAGGAAAAGTAAAGTCTTTGGTGGTCCTGAAAGTTGATTACAACCTATTGTTTCTATATTGAGGTGATGATTGTTTGCACTAGTTTTTAGTTTTAGTTTTTAGTTTTTAGTTTTTAGATTTTGGTTTTAGACTTTTGTTTTTGGTTTTTGATTTTGGTTTTTTTTATTTTTGGTTTTCAGCTTTTAGTTTTAGGTTTTAGATTTTGATTTTGGTTTTTGGTTTTTCTGTAGTCACTACAAGAAAACACGTCATTTACTAGGACGGGTTTTCCTCGTTATTTCCTAGTAAAGGGCCCTTTACTAGGAAATAGCGAGGAAACGTGTTTCGTCGAAAGACGTTCATCGTAAAGGCTATTTTCCTCGTAAAGGCCTAGTTAATTTACGAGGAAAGTTTTCCTCGTAAAGCCGTGGAAAACATTTCCTCGTAAGCTCCACGTACACTTTCCTCGTAAGGGCGTAGTAAAGTACTTCCTCGTAAACTCGTAGTAGACACTTTACGAGGAGTTTGCTAGGAATGTTTACGAGGAATTTACCTCGAAACCTTTACGAGGATTTTACTTCGAAACTATTTTTT